GAAATATGTAAACTGCCATTGCTGAACCCCTGCTGAAAATGCTAGACTGGCTCCCTGGTTTCAACACTTACTGAATCACTAACCTGGAATAAGCAAGTAACAAGTGAAGTCAGACCTCCTAAAAGCCATACTTGTTTAAAGAACTCAAATAAATGTCTTCATTAACTCTTGTAGTGGAGCTACCTCTGCACTGCAAGGGTTAAGTGCTCATTTGTGTCTAGGAAAAAAAAACAACTAAAAAAACCCATTATACTATCAGCATGCTCTGAGCCGGCTTCTTCTTAGACTGGTCCTTCCAGTGTCTCTCCCCCTCCTCTGCAGAGGCCTAAGGTCCTGTAAATCATCAACATTTATACACAGTGGATACCGAGGAATGTTCCAATGCGGAGGAGACAGGCGGGAGGAAGTGCTGTGACAGCTGGCCGGCTCCAGACTTCAGGTGAGTATATATTTGTTATTTATCTCCCTAGACATTAATAAGCACTTAAAGGAGAATTATGGGGTGAGTGAAAAACGCTAATCTCAATAATTCAAGCGGCTCTATTGATCGGGGAAGTCAGCAAACACATACCACTGACTTCCTGATCATCTCCCTGCAGAGAGCGGTGACTATCAGCTACCTCTCCCCGTAGAGATTCCCCTCTCCATTTCTCTAGCACTCCATTTCTCAGAGCCAGCGGATCTCGGCAGTATTGTCGGGATCCGTCCTAGCTGCGGCGCGGCTCTGTGCTCTCAGCAAAAGTCCGCTATGTACTGAGTTTTGGCTCACCCGAGGACATTAGTATAAAGGTGAAACTCAAATAATTAGAATATCGTGCAAAAGTAATTGCAGTAAGTGCTGCAAAAGGGGCCCAAACCAAGGACTGAGTACATATGCATGCTTGTACTTTTCAGAGGTCCGATATTGTTCTATGTACAATCCTTGTTTTATTGATTGCATGTAATAATCTACTTTTTTGAGGTTGTGAATTTGGGGTTCTTGGGGTTTTCATGAGCTGTAAGCCATAATCATCACAATGATGACAAATCACGGCTTGAACTATCTTGCTTTGCATGTAATGAGTCTATCTCATATATTAGTTTCACCTTTTAAGTTGCATTAGTGAAATAAATGAACTTTGCACGATATTCTAATTATTCGAGTTTCACTTGTATATCCTCCTGTGACCCTGAAGAGAACTATGGGACAGGATCTGTCTCTATCATACTTATTTTACTCACTCAATTTATAACATTTGTCTCATGTTTTTTGTTCTGGATTGTTGGTTGATATTCTGTCTCTATCATTTCAAATACACCTATAATAAAAATGATAGACCTTTCATTTCTTTGTAAGAGGGCAAACTTAAAAAATCTGCAGGGGATCAAATAATTATTTTCCACACTGTATATTTTAAGATTCAGACCAGAGATATCTAGAATCACAATATGTTGCTTTTTTTTAAAACAAGGTCCCTTTTGGCTTTCTAGATCACGAGGGGTAGGAGCTGAGTTATGAGCTTCTTTACAGCCCAAGCCCCATTACTTGTAAGTTTTTGATGTATACGAGGCAGAATACCTTTGTGACCCTGTAAAAGAAGGCAGTAAATACTCACCTTTCCCGGTTCCCTTGCCGTTTCTCAATCCTAGTCCCCTGAAGCCCAATGGCAAACAGACAATTTCTGCGGTCGCCTGCCGCTCTCACTAGTTCCTCCCTCTGTCCTCTTCACCGCTCTCCTGCAGTGATGTAGTCAGCGGGGGGAACCAGTGAGAGATGTGGGAATCTATGTAGAGCGACACCACATCCCAGAAATGTTGGGGGACCAGTTCTATTGATTCAAGCAGAGGTTGCTGGTATGAGCCTTCTCGTACAGGTGAAAAAACAGGGTTGCTTTAAACAGCCCGGTCGATACACACAGACACACGTTCTAAGTATTTAAAATTCTGCTGGACAGAGAATACAGGCGACTACAGAAGCTGCAGACAGATGAGGTGTCATGTTTTAACAAATCACATGCACCAAGAGAACCGTGTCAACTGTCAGTCCAGGGGTTTAATTGCTTTTAAAAGGTGCAGTTCCATTGAGATGGAGAGCAGAAAGACAGGACATATCAAACCCAGGGCAGCTAACGTTCATACATTGCTATACCATTATTCCCACAAGGATAATAACAGAGGGGTAAAAGTTAAAACATTTTCACCATTTTAAGTTTAAAAAAAACCTTTGTTATAATTTACAAATATGAGGCATTATCTGTTGCATTCTTTGACATTCATCATTATTCAATCTGAGGCCTTTAAAGTGAAATTTCACCTTTCTAAAAAAAAAATGTATAAGGTAAGGCGGGTTAGTGAAATGATCAGCTTCGTAAATATTTTGTCACCTGCCTGCAAAAACACTTGGGAGTCTATTTATAAAGCAGTGAATGTGACTTTCACCAAACATTCACTACTGGCAAACCAAGCAATGTAATGTAAAAACGTGCACCTGTAGTGACTGTTTGATAAATGTCAGATTCACCGCTTTATAAATAAATCCCTCAGAGTATCCATCATGTCCTATGGAAAATGTACAAGATTTGCAAACTACCGGCACAGACACGAGGTGCAGTGCAATGCAAGTTTTCACATTGCACCTCAACACAGTTTTCGGGTGTGAACAGGGCACTTGTTTTCTATGAGCCCCTGTGGTGAGCCTACATTCATTTGTGCAGATCAATCATTCATGCTGTGAATGAGCCTCTAACAAAATATGCTGTTCCACATGTTTCTGTAATGTCAGGAAGCTTAACCCTTTAATTACCAGAGGTCTTTGAAGCCTATATGCCTTGGTCAAAAGCAGCATCCGTTTGCATCGGCTAACTTGGCTATAACTCCATGTCTAGTTTTTATACCTAAATAATAATAATAATAATGAATATATATATATACACCGTATATATATTGTTTTAGTTCGATAAATGCGCAAAAATAAAATTGTTCTCACTGTTAAATTATTAATACTGTACCTGTATCTGACAATTACAGTATTAAACAAAGGCACAATGCCGTCAGCAGGCTTATTTTGTGAATGAAGCCTGCATGTAATCACAGCTGACAAAGTGATTACATAATTGGGAACCACTCTGATTGGTTCCTGATGGTTAGTGGGGACCGGAGCTGTCAGTGACAGCTATCCTCCCTGCATAGTGTCAGCTGCTACCTGTCAAATGGAAGACATAGATTAACATACCCTCAAGCATGGGGCATCATGCAGAAGAAAGTTAATCCACAGATTACAGGTGAAAACAGGTTGATCCTATTTTTTTTTCAATTCCTTATGTTAATTAAATCCTTGTTATCCTACCAGCCCAGTGTATCCATTTTCTTTCCTCGGGTGACAACTCTTCATTAAACTGTGACCTTCTTACCCTTTCCTGCATGTTCCTGATTTGGGCTATAAGCAGCCGTAACACAAACGGTTACAACTTGAGTCAAATTCCTCCATCAGCTACTCTAAAATTGCACTGGCAAAAAAAAAAGTGACCCTGACCACTTATTTAGATGTCTGTTTACAATGAACATCTGCCTCATCTTCAGTGATAACTCTGTCTCGAAAGTTTGCAGGTGCATTTTTGCGCCCTCACCCTGCAGCGCCGTAAGGCGGCCGCCTGACTTGCCTTGCGGTAGCGCCGGGCCTGGATAAATGCCCCCAAAAGAGTCTACAGCATGTGCACAGCACAGAAACAGAAAAAACATGAACAAAGTAAGGGGAAAACTATATTTAAAAATATAACGCAATCCCATTTTATTTACAGCACGCTACAAAACTACATTTTCTTTAGCGAGAGCGCTCACCAGATCTTGTATGTCCACCTGTTTGAAGTGGAAGTTTTTACCTGGTACAGTGCCATGTCTGACCACTAGAGGGATTTTAGAAATGAAAGTGTAAATCAGCAATACATTTAAATTCAAGTTTAGAGACAAAAATAGCCCACAGCTGCTTCATACTGTGTCTGCGCAACAATACAAAAATTCTAAAGCGTTTCTTCCTTGGCAGAACAAATCTGGAATTTCCCATTGGACATAATGGATACCCGGAGGGCCCATAAAGGCAAAAATGGTACAAAAATATGTAATGGGCTCTGTTAAAAGTCACGTTAAGATAGGATACATTAACAGCTTTCTTATACATTCGATACATACAACAACATGGGACTGCACCTTAAAAAACATTAGCATGTCTTGTTAGTGTTTGGTTGGTTAAAGGAACGGCATATGTACAGAAAAGCCAATAATACTGGGGTTCACAGGACTCTTACAGGCCATACTGTACAGCAGGTTTAGGCAAATGTCATCTTTAGCTAGATCAGCACAGCAGAGCATGCTGGGAATGTTAACACCACAGCTAAGGTCACAATATCGCCCTTCCTGTCTTAGCGGTTTGAAAACTCCAATGTAAAGTAACATTTCATCCAAAAATCCCTGATTGTTTATTGCTACAACATACTCATAATCAGAATCCCATAAAGGCAAAGTCACATAATTGATCTCCTGGCTCTTATGTCTCCCAATAGCTCTGCTCAAAGGGCAAATACTTCCAGATAATCTGTTTTTAACCTGGAAAGACCCCAAAAGCTTTTTTTTTTTTCTGAGGAAAAAAAGAAAAGCTTTCGTACCTGCATCAATAACGGTGCCAGAGGAGGCAAATTAATTAGTAAATAATTCAGTACACTGCTAGCACCAAACTGTACACTAATTACACAGATTCTGAGGTTTCCCCCCAACCATCAAATGTGTTGTTCACTCTTTATTCTTCGAATTCCAAGACAGAACTCTATGAACCATCATGGAAACTGCTGCAGTCTCTTCTTGGGAAGACCAGGAATTATTTGTGAAATACATGGTATTTCTTAGCTTTGTGGCTCTTCCGTCTATAGATGGACAGGCTTGGAGATCGATCACCAGTCCACCTCGTCAGAGTTTGTTTTGTTCATTGAAGTTGTCGTGGACTTTTCTTCACGTCTATCCAAGATTCACATGTAGCCCACGTTTTCCAATCATTGGGGCTTTTTACATAATAAGTGGTTGAGTCCATGTACAACAGTCAAAAGTGGAACCCTTACAAGCAGGGATCCTACACAGAATAAACAAGGCCTCTAAAACAGGCCTTGCGGGATGAGAATCAGAGGCTGTGCAGTGCCTTCAGGAGCTGAGGGGTTTTAGATGTTCATCTCAACAGGAGTCTTTCTGTTTCAAGTGACCGAGCGTCACCTGCCAAGCGGACAGGCTATAGATCCAGGTCAATATCTTTGCTTGACCATCCCTGGAGAACTTGTAATACCGTACCCTCGTCCCAAAAGCAGCAGCCAACAGCTACCTCGTGCTCTGCAGCTCCTCACGTAGCCAGGTGGGCAAAGTCTGGCCCATCTTGTAGAGCAGCTTGGACAGCTCGACGTTATGGTCCCTATAATAGTCTGTTAGGAAAGCTCGAGACTGCAAAGAAAGAAGAGGGAAAAATACAGTATTTAGAGGTCAATGAAGTTTATTTATAGCTTGTGCACAGCAGAGAATATTTATAAGTATGCAGCATACAAGAAAGTTAATGGTTGTGGTTTGTATATGTTTATTCTTTTCAGGACTAAAAAACTAAATTTATATTTATGGAAAATATTAAATATTTCATATTCATGTGTTGCACTTATATCCAGTTAGCATGTGAAGCTCACAACTCCTTTTCACATGTTTACCGGCTCTGCTATGCAAATCTGTCATAAAAAGTCTGTGTACAGAGCTCAGTAGCTCAATCTGAAAGTTCATACAAATAATTTAGTGTAGTGACTCTACCCCCTTAGTCCCCTGCCATGCTACTGTGTATGGGCAGTTCTGTACTGTGTTTTAATCAGACACAGAGGGCCAACATCTTGTGTTATGTTCTCCTGTATTAAATGTTTCTTTGCAAAACAATGATGTTATGAACATAGTGAAAAAACAAATCCATCAGTTTGAGCACTTTTTTTCTATATAAATGAATTAAAATTAACCCAACAGTTACAGCTTCTATTTAAACTCAGAATTCAAGCTGACCAATATCCTTAAAAGGTTAGATCAGGTATTACTCATTTTGATGATGTTCAGTTGAAGCTAATGACACCTGCTTAAGCCATTCTGAGCTTGCAGTGGCAAAGCTTTGTTGGGTCAAGCTTCAACCTGCCTCCCATCTCTTGGGGCCATTAGAGCTTATACGTAATCTTTCCTCTAATGGAATCTATGTAATCTATCCTGTATAGTAGTAATAATAACAATAATTAGGGATGCGCTGATACCGATACCGATTATTTGGGCGAGTAAGATTCCCAAAAATTTCCTCTGGCCGGCAGTGCCGTAGGGGAACATGGAGCCAGCTTCCCGTGCGATCAGGAAGCTGGGCAGCAAATAATGACCTGCCTCCCAGCTTCCTGGGAAAACAGCTCCATGCTAATTGGCTGGGAAGCCTGGAAGCAGGCTTCCCGGCCAATCAACATCGAGCCAGCCGGCTCCTTGCTGATTGGCTGGTGAGGTGGATTCCCGGCCAATCAGCATCGAGACAGCTTCCTCGCCAATCAGGAAGCTGGGTCATTACTTGCGGCCCGGTTTCCTGATTGGCTGGGAAGCCGGTTTCCCGGCCAAACACTATCAAGTCGGCCAGACAACTTGGAGCCAGCTTCTCAGGCAATCGGATTGCCCGGGAAGCTGGCTCAGGGCCAGGGGAAGCACCGCTATCGGTACTCGGTATCGACGAGAACCGAAAGCAAAGTATCGGTACCCATAACTGAAAAACTGGTATCGGTGCATACTTAATAATAATAAATTTGCTTACACACAACAGCTTTTACTTAATATTTCATTATTAGCTCGGACTGACTTGTTACATGGTTGGAAGTTTGAGATTAATAGTCAGAAAAGTGTGTTGTATCTAGCAATCAGATTCCTGACATTAAAACACTAAAGAAACAACATAAATGTTACCAACAGGTACAAAGCACAGGTACTTAAAGGTGCCTGTGCATACCAGCAGCAGCTTTCAGTGTCTGCATGAATGCGGGGTTGTTCTAATCAAGGGGAGTTTGGAGGCACTTCCTGGTAATGTAGCTTACCCCCCATACACATCCTAATGGGCAGTGAGGCGGCCCATCACAATTATGGGCCAATAGGAATGTAAGGGGAGTGGGTATTCTCCTGCACTACCAGATAGTGGCAAAGATTTTCCTGAATTCAACCACTCTGGTATTCTGGGGTCACTGAAATCTACTGCATGTATGTGCAGTCTTGTGGAAGTTACTTTATCCAACTGACGTCAAGTATTTTGCGCATCTGCTGTCCAAACTAAAAATTAATGCTTGCAAAGTTGGAGGAGAAACTAAACAGCCAATCAAGTGCTGAATTCTTTCACACACACTGGTTGCTAACTGGCCTGCTTACTTTGAACTGTGGCCTGCTATTGGTTTTGCTACTGCTAAAAGTGTGCAAAACTGAAGGATCGGTGCAGTTTTTTTTATAGGAAACTTACATCTGAGTTCATATCTGGGTATTTCCTCCCTTTACTCTTCCCCAGGCATTTGGTTTTCCCACCGTCTTGAAGTTGGCACCAGAATCCTTTCTTGGAATCAAACCTGGAAAAAAAACAGCAATGCTTGTATTAAGGATTTGACATAATAGTCTTAATGATAGACTTGTGCTGCCAAGTGAAAAGCATGGAGCATGGAAAAAAGTATGCTGCTATGCAAGATCAATTTTAGATTTTATACGAGCAATAAAACGCAGGATTTGTTTTACAAGGGGAACTCACAGCTACAATTGTGTATTCTCCACCACTTATGTGTTATGTGAATGTAATAATTATTTGTGTTTTAGTAGCAGAGGAATATCTGCTTATAAGCAGATCTTTCGCCGGACTGCACAGTAAAGAGGCAGCAGAGAAAAAGATGACTTTATGTAGTTGAGCAGCAGAAAGACTTGTGATCTAGTAGCTAGCGGGCAGAAAAACATGGATACTCACGCCAGTGTTTTGTGATAGTCCACAACATTCGCAACTCCTAAGAATTTCTGCACAGATTCAATTACACCAGCAGGCTCAGTACGCAACAACTTGCCATCTAAAACCAGTATCTGAAAGAGAAAATACATTCAGGATTTCTGATTCCAATCCACTTTTAGAAAGGCTGTGTAAATGCAATTCAGAAAAATTTTGCTTCCACTTCAGTCAAAACTAAGAAACATTTGTATATTGCCCTGCCCAAGTACACCGTTCCCCCTTTTAACTAGTTCCAATCTGATCAGAGAAGCTGCTATTGATTTTTAGAGATCAAGGGCTGGATGCTTTCATGGACTTTTTATATTTATTATACAGACATAGCTATAACCCACCAAGCAATCCCTCATACTGAATCGGATTGCCGGTAGTTTGGTATTTTGGGAACACCCTCTTCTGAGTCTTTTCAATACTTGGCCAGGGATTCTCAACCCCACACATGGTAGTCCAAGTTACAGAGGTTGCACAGAACAGAACTGTGTTCACGTAAGCAGGGTAACCTTGTGAGCAGTGCAAGTGGTTGCATATAGACTGAGCGTTACAAACAGCCATTAGACATATTGGTTTTATTTGTTGCACTGTAAAGTATTCACATATAAAAATAATATTGTCTGGGATTCCTAAAGTACATCTAAACTCTAACAGGAGGATGTTTAGTTTACTATAGCACGGTGTATCAAGCAAATGCCATGATTTTTTCCCCCCATAAAAATAAGATTTTTGGACTTGCCATAAAATCCTTTTCTTGGAGGCCATTCAGGGACACAGGAAGTCTTTAGCCTTCAGGTTATACTACCTCCTACAGGAGGAATTGGGCATTGGCAAACAAAAAAAAAAAACTGTAGGCCAGCCCAGAAGACCAGATCTTCTTGTCCCACGATGACAGAATGTTTAGTTGTAGAGGTCTGGAGTCAAAGGGAAAAAGAGACGGCTCCTGGACTGGAGAATTTGAATATGAGGAGCAATCTGGCCTGACCTGTGTCCATGACTAGACCGAGATACTTCAAATGATGAGCCGTTTCAAGCAATAATTTCACAAGGTTCACACAGGATCCAACTGAATTGCTGTAAAGTTTGGATGGTCAACGACATGTTG